CAACTCTGGTCAAGAACAGTGTCTCGAAGAAGAAATGGAAGACAGTGTTTGCTTTGACTCAGACAAAGGCAAGACCTATAGATCACCCAGAGAAAACAGATAGTATACATCAGTGTCTTAACTCAAATGGAGAACTTATAAATCAAGGTCTTAGAAAAAGGAACTATATACCAGTGAAAGAATATTTGTAGCCATGGATGTTCCGCTATCTCTGGGGACAGGGGTCACTAGACCTCCCAGTCTATTAGGCATCCTTGGAGAGACAGAACAAGGGTTATGCTCAGCAACACGGCATGCCAAAGTGTCCTTAAGATATTACACAATACACAGATATAAAAAAGGACAGCTGAGAAAATGACTCACATGGGCAGGAATGGCTTGGCAAATAATCCCAAAGGCACCGTCATTTTGTTAAAAATAAATAGAGAAGTTTTGTGCCCATAGTTTTAAGGGCATTTTTTTAAAACTGATACCCTTGTAGATTTCCTTGTGCACTCTTCAAAATGAAAAGCCATTATAAGGACCACCCTCAAGCCATTTTTCACCCCATGACACTAGAATAGGTACTCGCTCACACCAGAGTGAAAATATTTACTTAAGTGTGAGCACTGATCTGGCTCCAGTGAGTTTTGCATCTACCCTACCGATTTCTGTTTCAGTTGCTCTGAGCTGCTAGGACAAACTCCCAGAGACTAAGGCCCTGGTAAACAAGGGAAAATTCCTTTCCCACAGCTCTGCAGGTGGGAAGTCTGAGGTCAAGGCCCCAGTGATGTCAAGCCATTGAGAGAGCCTCTCCCAGGCTACAAATAGCTGAGTTCTTAACTGTACCCTAATGTAGCAGAAAGACAGCCAGCTAACATTTCAGACTCTTCTGACAAGAAACACCCCATTCATGAGGTCTGCATCCATAAGGCCCCTTTCTCCAGGACTTTTACACGGGAGATAATAAGGTTTCAACCAGGAAAATTAGAGTCAATCCATATCAGTTTCTCTCTTACACTACTTTTTTTTTTGCAAGTTACAGGGAGGATGCCCTATGCAAGATTATCTGGGACTGTGACTCCTCGGCATTTGAGAGATATTTTACCCCCAAACCAGGCAGTCCTCCATCAGCAAGAACAGTTCATGGTCCTTTCAATGCTCTCAAATTACCCTCATCACTTTGCTCTCGGGACCCCTGTGTGCTTAAGATTTGTCTATGCCCCTTCTTTGGCCGTGCATCATCACAAATACCTTTTTCACCTTGATGATGATGGATGACCCTGACTGTACGTAAATCCAGAGACATAAGTTCCCTGTAGTCCATGGATAACACAAAGTGTAGTCGGAGGAGCCTTGAAATTCTCTAAAACATTATCCACTTAACTAGTGGATCCAGTTACACAGAATGTTTGTAAAAATAAGACAAATCTAGGACTTCCAAGACTGACTGAGGCAGTGGTTCTCAACCTTCCTAACACTGAGACCCTTTATTTTTTTTAATATTTACTTATTTATTATGGATACAATATTCTGTCTGTGGGCCAGAAGAGGGCACCAGACCTCGTTCCAGATGGTTGTGAGCCACCATGTGGTTGCCGGGAATTGAACTCAGGACCTTTGGAAGAGCGGGCAATGCTCTTAACCACTGAGCCATCTCTCCAGCCCCCCACTGAGACCCTTTAGTACAGTTCTTCATGTTATATGTTTATAACCGTAAAATTATTTTCGTCGCTGCTTCAATAACTGTGATTTTGCTACAGTTATGAATCACAATATAAATATCTGATATGCAGGATACTCTTAGGTAACTTCTGTGAAAGAGTCATTTGATTCCCCCCCACACACAAAAAGGTCACAATCCACAGGTTGAGAACCATTGGTCTAAGGTAAAGCCTGTAAACCTCCATGAGGAAAAATCTTGCTGGTGGTTATGGTGCTCGTGAGAACACATTGTGCCTGCAGGACACCGGGAAATCCCTTCTAGTGGCAGGTGCAGTTTGAAACTAGCTTCCCAGAACAGGGAACCATTTCAAGCATCTGACTGGGTGAGTAGGAATTTTACAATCCACAACCCATCAATCAATTAAAGACCAGTTAGTAGGAATTTTACAGCCCACAACCCATCAATCAAGTTAAAGACCGCCATTTGAACCACCAGACAAGGAGCTACCACTCTTCGCCCAGACCATCAAAATAGGTGCTGTGAAATTTAAATAACATAAATCATTTACTAATCAAGTCTAAAGTGATGCCACTTTTTATAGTGACCTCAATATATACTTATTAATTTTACCATTAGTCATCACTGGTAGCAAATTATATCCAGGAATTGCTATTAAAAAAAAATCACTGGGTAGATTTTGTTCTTCTCATATTAATACCAAGCATGGGTTAGAGGGTAAGACTTTAAGAAAATTAAATTTAAGTGAATATAATCTTTTATGGACTTGTGGTTGGCCATTTATGATCTTATGCAGTCCTCTTTTCACCAGACACTTAAACACATGTGCATGCACACACATGTGCTCATGCACAGGTTCACATACACACATATGTACAGTTCCAAAATGTTCAAAAATAACCCCAGAAATTCATATAGACACTTCCTACCAATTAAGAACTGCTCATCAGTCTATGGACATGGGAGGGGGGAAATCTTACAGGGCCCCACCCTAAACAAAGAACTAGAGGCAACTGTAGGATGTTGAGGGCAAGAAAAATAGCCCTTCCCCGAGAGAGGAGCATCCTAATCGGTTTCTCCAATACCAAAACGTCAGCCCTGAAATAATATACACGCAAGCAATACTAAACAGACTCAGTCAGTTTTGGGGGGGGCGGGGGCAGGGAGTTATAACAAAGTTGAGGAGGCCAGGAATTTACGGGGGTAGTGAGAGGAGCTGGAAGAAGGAAAGAATGGAGACAAAAGTATGTAATTACATTTTAATTAGCAAACACCAAACTGCTGTTCTAAACAGGAGCCTGTGAGTCACAAAATGTTGGGCTTCCAGTGAACGTGTGACTTGGAAGCGTGTGGGACCAAAGCATACTCTGCATACATGAAAGCGTTTTACAAATTCCGATAGTCTTGAGAATTCCTCAGCTAAATGAAGACCCTCTCAGGGTCCGTGAAAACACCTAGCTCTCTATAGTTTTCAGAGTCTAGTTACCTGGCAGCGCTCTGAGTACTTCCAAATTTTCTGCATTTAAAAACAAACAGACAAAACAAAAACAAACAAACAAACAAACAAAAAACCCCAATATGGAAACCACAAGCCCTGTCACAGAGTCTGTTCCTGCCACTAACCATTGAACACAGACGGCATTGCCTGCGCCTCTCTGCCAGCAGCCCCTAAGTAAGTTCAGAATTTATTTACATTTCACAAGGGGGTTTTAAGGCTTGTTCAAAAATCCAGTCAACCCATAATGCAAAATAATCTTGATATCCAAAAATGAAAAATCATCATAAAAACACCAAAAAAAATCATCTCTCTCCAATGCACAATAAATATTAAAGACTCCATGCTATATACTTGGACAGCTAAACCAAATATCAGACAACTCAAAGGTTAATTTAAATTTTTGCTTGAGGCTTCTGTATATGTTGTGTATGCTATTTGTCTTGGGAGAGACAAAAATACAGGGTTGAGGAAGAGGAGGCACACTGTAACAATCTGACTTAAGACATTGATTGGAGTTGCATGAACTGACTCTTGTATTTTGCTCAGCCTGGGGAAGGGGGAAAGGCTTGGTGCTGCCTCAGTGAGGTGATGGGACAGACTCGGTGGACTTTTCCCAGGGGATGCCTTCTCTCTGAGGAGAGCATGGAGAGGGAGGGGTGGGGGGAAGAGAGGACAGAGGGGGAACTAGGATTGGTATGTAAAAAATAAATAAATAAATAATTTTTTTTTAAAAAGGGCACTGATTGGGCCCCTACCCCATTCTTCCTGTATTTGACCCAAACACAGTGACCAATACAGGAGGGGAGCTTACCTACCAGCCAAGAAGACCACGATGTGTCAATGACACGTGGCCACAAGGAAGTCTTTGGCCACTCGCCAGCTGTGTCCCACTAGGCCTCGGGTCCTCCCGCCAAAGAGTATAATTTCACGGTTCACTTCAGTAGGTTTTTATCACAAAATGCATAGACAGTGTCCACATTACAGGAATACAAATAACAGGAACAGCTACCCTTAACAGCTCCTGCAGCCTCTGTCATCAAAATAAATTCCAACACGGTAGATGACTCTCCATCCGGCTTGCTTTGACCACACGAGATGTTCTTAAAAGGAAGTGTGTTGAGGACTGCCGTTCCTGCTTCTGAATCAAATTGCCATTTTCAATCTCCACCTAAGCCCTTTCCAGTCCGGCATCCAGGTTGCTGTCCGTGAGCCTCTAGCCTATTTGTCGAAAGGATAAGCTTCCCCGTTTCGTTTCTACTCAAGTAAATTGGTCATTCCTTCCTCTCTAATTCCTCCTGAGAGAATTAATTTGCCTTTTCTGGGCTAGCCAATCAGCCATCCCCGTGTTTAAAACTAGAACCCCCTGCACCCCACACACACAAACACAATCAGACACATTTTGAGACTTTTTGAAATAAAAACACAGAAGCAGCAAGAACACGGATATGTGATCAGAATGAGCAGAGAGCTGAACACTCACCCCTGCATTTTCTCTTTAATTTTCATGCTACCAGAGGAGAGTGCAAAGTCCCCTGGCTCTCCGTACCTCAAAAGCACTCTAAGTTTTAAGAGAGAACAGACCATCTACATCCAGTAATATAAGAGAACACCACTGCTCCTCACAGGACAACCAGAAAAACCACAAGAAGTTGTGATCCGTGCTTTAAGCTAACTCTCTGTTAAGTCTGCCTTGCAGCTAATCCGAAATCCTCGTGTTCCCTCTCACCAGCCCCTTGGCTTGGGCTTTGATGCTGTATCATTTCCCTGGGAGACCAGGTGGAGGCTAAGCTGTTTCTAGAGTACCGCTTGGGACATCCCCCCCCAGACTCTGCCTCTTACCTGCAGAATCCACGCTGTCGGCAGGCACACTCTGCGTGGCAGCTGGGGCTGGGTCCTTAACTCCGTGCACCTGGCCATCTTCTTCCTGGGTCGTCAGAAACGCAGAGCACAGACCAGATTCGAGGGCTTGGAGCTTCAGCAAGGAATTCTGCCAACAAAAGCAGAACATGAAGCCAGCTAAGTGGATGCCTGACACACAGCGCTGGGTCTGCGGCTCTCCGGCACCTTTGCCCGGCGCCTGGCAGGAACGGGGGGGTCTCCGGCTGACCACAGCTGCTTCGGGTAAAGGAGTTGGTCCCTGAGTCAGAGCTGCGCATTTGTCCACGTGCAGCCTCAATTTCTGGCTCATTGAAATCCCAACGTATACGGTTTATCTGTGACACATGGGACCTGTGATGTCGTCAGCAAGAGACACTGCATCTGGAGAGCCAATCTCCGAAGGTGTCTGCTTCCCAAGTGGAGAGAGGCTTTACGCTCAGCAACGTTTCATTCACTGTACTGACATCAGGAGCCGGATATTAGGCCACTCCCAGGCTACCATTCATAAACGCCAGCGTCCCTCCAAGACACAGACTGCGGCAGACCGCAGCACACAAAGAGTTACTGCTGCAGCGGCTGTCTGGCATCTAGGAGGGGCTTCTGGGCTCCCTCGGGCAGCTGCCTGCGCCTTCTAAAGTTACTTCTCTTTCAGGGGATGCCGCGCCCGCCTCCTCTGGAGATCAGAGTCCAGGAGCCCTGGTCCCTTTCGCCTAACTCAGCTACTCTAGGGAGAGCAATTGACCCTTTCCCGCCTACCCCTTCATGTCGCAGCTGAAATCCTCCCAGGTTCTTGGGAAGAACAAGTCGTGCAAGACTGACGCACCTATGATGCAGCAGCCCCGCAAAATGACTCCCCTAGCAGGTGAAGATGAGTCATGCCTGTGTCCTGGCTGGGCACGGCGACCCCACAGTGGGACAGCTCAGCAAGTCCCAGGGGCAACTCCGCCCACCTGCCTCCAGCTGTGGCAGGGCAGCCAGGGGGAGCAGAGCAATGGCGACATACGCCACCCCGCCGTATTCACACGAATCGCCCCCTCACAGATGACACACAGGGGCACACTGGAGCACCCCACTCCACAGCTCCGCCCCTGCCTGTCCCATATACCTACACACACACACAACCTCCCACACCCTTGCTTCCAACACCACACACACACACACACACACAGACCCTAAGCCCCGAATGCCCTAGGTCACACTGCATATGCCTTTTTGTCCCAACCTCAACCCCCACTTATATACCCAATGCTACACACACCCCACACTCTACCTATCACTCCCGCACACTCATAAATCCCCTGCACTCTTCCTCCTGCCCCACGCATACATCTCCTTCTGACTGCCCCTGTACCCTTCCTCTCCTTCATATACCCACCACTTCATATATCCTCCTCGCCCAATACCCACACATCAACCCCCAGCCCTTCACACTGTGCCAGTGAGTCACACCCTTGCCTTATAGACACTCTCACACGCACACCTAGCCCAGTTATCTCCTCCCACATCACGCTCTCACGCTCTACTGGTACCGGCTCCCCCCCCCCCCAACCCCGTGCCTTCATCCACTGGGCTGATGCTACAGCAGTGTCTCTACATGATGCTTGCTCTCCCGGGGATGTCTGAAACTTCCTCGGGCATTTTGAAGTCAGGGGGCACCTCTGCAGCTCAGGCCCCTCCTCTGCCACACACAGATATGCTCATGAACTTACAGGAACACCACTGTCAGCCCTCAGAATAACCACAGCTCAGCCAAAGCAGCGTAGCCTAAGAATAGATGACTTCCATGGCCCTCTTCTCCCTCTGGGACACGTCCACCGCTGAGAGTTCAAGGTTGCTGAGAGGAGAAGCAGAAAGGAACAAAGGCACCAGGTTTCCAGAAGAATCTAGTCATTGGTGTCCAATCAGCTGGTGGACACCAAGGATGATTCCAAGGAAACCAGCGTGGGCGCTTCAAGAGCACGGGACTGCACTACAGAGTTAGACAATGCCATGGATGTGACCTGGATGGGTCACTGCAGGACATAGTGGGCCCTGAAGAATACAAATACCATATAACTAACTCCATCATTGGGTATGTACCCAAAAGAACTGAAAGTGAAGCCTTGGACAGTCTGTACACACCCACATCTACGGCATTTCAAGAGCTTAGAGAGGTGTTACGGGCTGAATTTTGCCTCTCAAGTTCCCCTATTGGAGCTCTGTTCTCATTGTGACTAAACTTAAGGATAGGGCCTTTAAAGATGTAACTAAAGCTAAAGAGGCCTTAAGGATCAGAACCCAACCCAATAAGACTGATGTACCCATAAAGGCCAGAGGCCAGGGGGACATCAGTCATATATCGAAGGCTCTATGAGAGTCCCATTTGAATGCAACTACCTACAAGCCAAGGGGCATGGCCTCTGGAAAAACTAACACTGCTGGCTCTTTAACACTGCTGGATTTCCTGGGGTTTTGCTGTTTAAGCTACCCAGGCTGTGGTACTTTGCAACGGCACCCTTCAAAACCTAACGTGAGCTGCAAGAACCCAAGTGTCCACAAACAGATACATGGATGCCCCAAACGTGGATGAACTTCCAAAGAACATTCCTCAAAATTCAAGGGGAAGACACGACCGGCATGGGATACCACAAGTGAGATTAGCTAGTTCCAGAAGAAAGAATACTGTGTGATTCTACTCGGTAAGAGAGCAGAAAAGCCATAAAGACAGGAAGCAGAGCAGTGTTTCCCCAGGACCAGCTGGAGAATGGAGGGAGCTGGCTCATAGGTTCAGAATTTCAGTTCTGTATGATGAAGATATGTAATATTATATATATATATTTATTTATATGAAGGATGCTTAGCAATGAGAATGAACTTAGTGTTGCCGAATGGTATGCTTGAAAGTACTTGAGAGGACATGTTTTTCATACTGAATATATTCTACAATTACTTTTTAAAGAATTTTATGTCAAAGGAAGCAGACCTGTCCATGTCTTTCGATAGCAACAGGGTCTCACGTAGCCCAGGCTGGCCTAGAACTCTGTTCACCTTGGGTCATCTTTAATCTCTGATCTTTGTGACCTTGCTTCCAGGGTTGTGGGACTATGGGTAGGTGTGTATCACCGTACCTGGCTTTACACCCAGTGCGGTGGAGGGACAGGACCCAGGACTTCCTGTAGACTAGACAAGCATTTGAACAAGACCCACATTCTCAGCCTTTTGTTATACGGCGCCAGCAGCCTGGCTCAAATGCCTGTGTGCTCTTGTGTAATTTGCAAAGCAGCAGATGGCTTTCAGGGTCCCAGAGAACCACGGGGAATGTGCACCGTGCTCTCTATCCTGCCTGACTGTGGGCAGCTAGCCTGGCTATTCCCAACCTTATCTTTTCATCTGTAAAAAGAGGCAAAAATAACAGTGATGAGTTATGGCCCCTGCCGCGAGGGCTGCTCCCAGGCGAACTGAGGGAGGGTAAGAAAAGCACTTTGTAGAAGTGCCAGTAGGTGGCCGGTCACTCCATCACTGGTGAGGCTGGAATGTCCCCAAACACCAGCTGCTGGGAAGAGGTCTGGCCATGTGGACAGACTTCAGGCTGTGCCATGCGTGACTCATCTCTACCTCCCAGGGTTTCACTTCTGCACCTGCCTACCAGGAACCCCACTCTAGATGACTTTGAAGTCCCCTTCTAACGAGGACAGAGAGAAAATCAAGCGTGTACATACACTGAGAACAGAGGTGCAGATCCTGGTACAAGTAGGTACCTAGCTAGACTTGGGTCTGGAGCTGAACCAAGGACTCAAGTTACACGGACAGCATAGGACATCAATACACAGGGGTACGTCAGACTCAGAAGCTTCTAGACCCTATCTGGGAGACAGACTATGTGTTATAAACCAGAAGCGGCAGGAGTGTCAACAGTTATGGCATCCAATGTGGAGGCTCAACTATCCACAAGTCTCTGGAGGGGTTTACGAGCAGCGGGCTGCGCACTACTTGGTGGCAGGAGACTAGGTAAAGCACTGGGGTGGATAGACAGGTTCTAGGCCCTGCCTCTGGCTTGAGGCTCCTCTCTCACCTACCCAAAGGGGGCGAGGTCAGTCACCAGGCCATGTGCAAAACTTAGAAGTTTCAGGTTTGGCTCAAATGTCAGAGATCATTGCGAGTGCATGGCTGCAGGCACTGTGTAAAGCAAGCAGTCCAGACCGAGAAAACCTCGAAACAGGTACAGTAGGAAATGGGTATAGACAGTCTTAAAGAATAATATTAACAAACAATTTTAAAATAATAGAGAGAATAAAATATAAAAAGGATAGCCCTGTAAGGAAGGGAAATATTATAAGACAGGGAGTTTGGACCTTATATGAGGTTTTTTTTTTTTCATTTTAAATGTTTTAAATGCTACTGAACAGAGAATGACAGCTAGTGAGAGACACTCGATTGTGGAAGTGACTGCTGGATTAAACCAGCCTGCATACAGGCTGTATATAGCCAGGGTGTCTTGGCTTCAAAATGGAAGTTCAGAATGGGAAATATGGTGTGTTGGGGGAGAGGAAACAAAGAGTTGTGGTTTGCTTCACATGGGAGATCTACTTACATGGCTGGGCTGTTCCTCTCTGAGACACTAAACAGAATCAAGCATAAAGGAATGAGGATGAAAAGGCCTAGAAAATGGAACAAGATGAACGAGGTGAACAGCAGAAACACAGGGAGGCCTCTAAGCAGAAAAGAAGACAACTGATGGGGACCAAGGACAAGAAATTAGAACTGAAGAATCTCAGCAGCCTACCTGTCCCCACCACAGGCCATCCCATTCCCCACCACTTCAGCACACAGCCCTCCTCATATCGACACCCTCTGTGGAATGGGTCTGTATGGAATACATCACCCAGTGGTTTAGGATCCCAGGGCAACAGTGCAGAGACCTAACTGTGTTACATGTCTACCCAGGGAATGATGGGAGATATCTTGCCTATCCTGACAGGATGAAGCACCATAGAGCTATCCCGGGGATGCTTGGGATACTGCACAGGCAGGGTCTGTGAAGATGTGCTAGCCCCATGCTGCTTGACTGCTCAAGCAAGAGCTAGGCTCATGTGGAGGCTGAGAGACTAACATCAGCTTCTTCCTCCTGGA